CTTCCACTGAATCGAAGCAAGAAATCTTCCACTGAATCGAAGCAAGAAATCTTCCACTGGGTTGAAACAAGAAATCTACCAGTCTAAACAGAAGAAGAAGAAGAAATACAACCTCAAGTCGGAGAGAAGAATCAACTGCGAATGATCGATAGAAATTAGCCCCAGTGTCGAACTGAACCACACCTGACATACATACATGATTCTAGAAAGTAGGTAATTCGACATTTTCCTATTGTGTGATAGAAGCTTGGTGCCATAGTCCACAGAGCGGGTCGGGAATTGAGAACAATTTTGTTTTTATGTAACGGACTTTAAGATATAAAAGGTTGTTACCCTTTTTATCGGCAATTTTGTTTGGTGTCGTGAGTTTTATTTTATTTGTGTTTTGCCACCCCGTCGGACTCAACTTGTATCGGCCCCTGATCCCCTGCTGGTCCCGTCTGTCTAAGATCTAAACACAGCGTGGGTAGACAGACCGGAGATCGGTATAGTTGCTTTAGTGACCAGGTATTGGAAGCGAGTCGGGAAAGGCGAGGCTGGTGATCATCTGACCAAAGGGGTTGGAGCGGCACGCTTGGACCCAGGAGGAGCGACCAGGAGGAGCGACGTCACCGTTGGCGCCGTAACCAAAGGATCCGACACTGGGCCAGGTGTGTAACCGTCACAATATTGTCGGCTTGCGAATCATAACAATTCCATTTCTTTTTCGGCTGACAAGACGTTTACATTTTACATTTCTTAGATTATATTTTGGACCTAACATTCCATTCTGATTTTCTGGTTATCAGAAAGAAAGAAAAACTCTCTTTTTGCACCATTGCACCATATTTCAATTCATGTTTTCACTTTGACGTTTTTAACCCTTCCAATTCTCCAAATTCTATACGGGTCACCTTTTGATCCTTTTCATACTACCAGTGTCACAACAGTGTCTCATTAATCTTTTCAACTACAACCAGTGACACTTTATAGTCTCACACTATTATCATGAATTTTGCAAGGGTAGGTTACATATACCTGCAAATTTACTTCTAATTCAATTCTGAGGGTAAGCGAGCATAAAATTTTAACAAACATGAAAATTAGGATTATTCAATTACGATTATTCAAATCGATTTGACCTCCTAGAAAAACTTCATTTGCGAAAAGATATGAGAACAATTCGGAACTGTGGACAAATATAGCGAATACGAATAGAAAAATACGAATAGGGTCGTGAGCTAAGGATTCATCTTCTCACCAGATTTATTTATGCTATACTGCGATGCGATCCTAAGAGAACTAGAAGTCCTACCAGGATTTATTATTGGAGAACACAATCTTAACAACATGAGATATTCAGATATTCAGATGGTACAATACTGATATCAAAAAAGAAAAAGAAAACTACAGGAACTCATAGAGAGGGCAGTAAAGGAGGGTGAAAGGAAGGACGAACCATCAACAGTAAGAAAACAGAGCGTATTGTCATTTGCAAAAGGAAAAGACCAACATGCGCGCAACAAACTGGAGATGTGAAAAGTAAGCAGATATAGAAATGTAACTCTTTGGGAAGGGTTATAACATACAACGAGGAATGTGATACATTAGTCCGAAGGTTCATTGAAATAGTTAAAGATATTTATCAAAAGATAAAGATGAGTATTAAGAACGAATTGGTTGTTTTTTTTAAGCAGCATATCAACTTTTATGGTTTATTTAATGCCGAAATCTAAATAGGAAAATTCTAACTTTATAATTAATTCAAGAGAATGACATTATTTCATGATTAAATTATAATTACTTAGCTGCATTTTTTTTACCATATAATCTTACAAAATCAAACGTGCAGTGAAATCTTGTTTCTCCCTACAAGAAATGAGATTAATCATATCAGATTCTTTCTTTGGTTTTTTACTATGTATGCTATTTCTTCAATTTTACTATAAAATCTATTGATGTTTAATTTGTTATAAAATATATTGTTGGTAATTTTACAATAAAAATGTATTGCTAGTAGTTTTACTATAAAAATGTATTACTTGTAATTTCACTACAAAAATGTATTGTTATTTTTTTTATATAAAAATTGGTCGTACGGCCATATCACGTTGAAACACCGGTTGCCATACGATCACCTAATTTGTGCAACGTCGAGGCTGGTCAATACGTAAATGGCTAACCACTTGGTAATACCATGTGCTGTAAGCTTGGATGTACGGATGGTATAATCGTTAATGGCTCAGAATTGTTAATTCTGAAAGCCGAGGTTCAATCCCAGTCGGAGTCGTTATATTTACTTACACGTAAATACACTTGGGAAAGGCATGAATCCGCAGCCCCACTCAGCTATACGCTAATTAGTATGACTTGTATCTCCAAATCATTATCTAAAAAAAATTTTTGCGATCCAAAAATATTTTCTGGCTTTAAATAATCTGCAAAAGATTGATAATCCGTAAAAACAGATCAATCAATCAATCAATATAAAAATATATTGTATTAAGAAACATGAACATTTCCTTAGTAAAATTAGTTCTGTATTACTATATATCTATTATCCTAAATAGGAGTTAATGCTGGAAAGATTCCTGGCCGATGAAGTGGGGACGATGTAACAGAGTTGTTATTCTGCAAAAGAATGTTGAGAATACCATTGACGAAACATGTGAGCAACGAGGACGTTCCAAGGAAAATACAATCAGAAAGAGACAGTTGAAGTTTCTGGGACACAGAGTGAGAAAAGATGTCTTGAAGAAGCAAACATTCACAGGATACATTGCAGACAAAAAGGACAAAAAGAAATAGTGAGTAACCAACCTTGTGCAAATCGATGAACATAGATTGGAAGAGATGGTACAGGGATAGACATTGCATAGAGCTGCAAAATATAGAGAGATGTTAAACGCCATGAACATCCACGTCCAGAATGGAGACGGCGCACAAAATAAGAAGAAAATTCACTCTTCTGGGATAAACATTTTTCGAATGTATGTTGGTTACTGTCAACGTTTTCCATAGGGGTAACAAATTTGTTTAAAGTTATTATGGGAGAATGATTTGCCCAATGATCAACACATTCACTCTTCAGTATCTGTCTATATTTCTGAGATGAGGTATTACGTACACTATTTACATTATTCGGACTATTGTCCTCATTTTTGTCGCCATGTTTATCACAACGTTTCGGCCGTTGTACGCTCCGGCCTTCTTCAGATAGTTGGAATGTCGAACTGAACCCTTTATTTCGCTCACTGGGGTAGACTGTTCTAGTTCCACGTGCCATGTCTAATGGATGTCAGTTATCTCCTGTTAATTCCCCTCTCAAAGTTCTCCACCGCCTTAACCAGGTATTGAACTCACACTCTTTGGGTCCTGTCACTGGATCTACCTAACGTCTTTATCCACTGTGCCAGTAGGCTAGAATTTGAACTCGAATTTTATATTTCATTTTCTTTTTCGAAAACCGTTTCTTCATCCTTATTTCGTTCTTTCTTTTGTCCATAATTTAATGGCGGAAATTTGTTTCTACACTTTGAGGTAACAGTGTGAACGCATATAGAAATAAAGTTAGTCACCGACGTCAAAATGTTTCGCCTCTTCATCTGTATTTTTTACTTCTATTGGAGTAAACACATATTGAACTGTTTTGTGGGGTGTGAGGAAATGTCTATTCATAATCCGCCTCAAATAACTCCATATTAAGTTGCCGCGGAAATAGTCTGGCGTAGAATGTGGAAAAGTCTGTGACTCATAGACATCCGGCTGATTTTAAAACCCGTCGAATGGAATTATTGTCAGTCACGTGATTAATTCGATCAGTCAGGCAAGGATGAGGGATCAGATGGTATGAATCAAATTGAGACACCATTCTTCTTTATATTTTTTTTCAGGAGATTTTTTCCTTTTTCTGATATTAGAAAAGCATTTTTAGAGAAAAATTGGCAGTTTATGTTTTTCTATATCTGAATGCTCTTGTTTACAAAAAATGGTTTCAATTTGAGTCACTTATATGAGGAGTCTGATGTATATCTGCCAATTGTGGACTTATGCGTATTTTGATATTTAACGTAAAGGGTTTGCCTTTGGGAATTTGGGATAAAACTAAGGCGTCTTTCTAAGATCATTTAATTGGTCTTCATCTGCTAACAGTTGCAAGAAAGAAAGAAATAAAGAAAGAAAGAAAGAAAGAAAGAAAGAAAGAAAGAAAGAAAAATATGGTTATAATACCACGAATAATATGAGTAAAAAAATGATTAAGAAAGAGAGAAAAAAATGGAATAGTAAAAACTGGTAAAATAGCATTGAAAGAAAGAAAGAAACAAAGAAAGATAGAAAGGAAGAAAGTTCTGGATACAGTATCACGATATAATGGAATAAAATGGAAAGAAAGAAAGAAAGAAAGAAAGAAAGAAAGAAAGAAAGATCTGGGTACAATACGAAGATATAAAGAGAATAGGGGTAAAAAATGAAGAAAAAAAAGATAAATTGATGAAATAAAACGGAATAAAGAAACAAACAAACAAACAAAGGAAGGAAGGAAGGAAGGAAGGAAGGAAGGAAGGAAGGAAGGAAGGAAGGAAGGAAGGAATTGGATAACAAAATAATATGGAAAGGAAGATGGACAAAAGGAAAATCGAAAATGAAAGAAAATAAATGAAAGAAGCAAAGAAAATGGTATCAAAATTTTAAACAAGAACCGGCAAAGCGGAAACAGAAATTACAAGAAAGAACAAAAATGAAGAAAATAATTTTTTTTAGCCATGACTAAAGAAAGAAAAGAAACATGCATACCAGAAAAAGAAAGACATTTTCAAACATTTTACGTTACCGATACATCTAGCCAATCCCCAATTTATGTCCCCAAATCTTTCTCATTTTCGTTTTTAACTATTTAACAGTTAACACCTTCAATCTCCAACGCATCTTGCGAACTGACAAACATTTTCCTGACATAAATTTAAGATTTAATATCCTAAAGCCAACGAAAAAGATTTTATGACAATATATCAACTCTTGTCATGACTCTGTTTCGTCCGCTTCTGTTGCGTTCTTGGCCAAATACGCTCTATTCTCCAAGCCCAACAGCTGTGAACACAATCCTTTACGGTTTCTTTCCTCCCAATCCTTTGAATTGCGTTATAATTCTCTTGGAGTTTCGCTTGACAACATTCTCACAGTCGGAAGATAAATATTATAATAAGCGGGAACTCCTCTCTTCGTTGTGTCAACTTGAAAATGGGACCAACAGCTCGACGCACTCACTGGTCTGGGGCGGGGAAGAGAAGCTCGGGAATGAATACAGAGTAAGAAAGATTTTTGACGATTACGGACACGGTGGCAGGGGCGAAAAGAGAGTGCACTTGATTTTCGGCAAGAAGCAATGAGGTTAAACTGAAGAAGAAAAAAAAAAACTAGATTACACATAAATACATATGAATTTTGCGGTTCTTGTACTGAAAAATTTCCAACTTCTCTCTCTCTCTCTCTCTCTCTCTCTCTCACACACACACACACAAACACACATACGAACACATTTGTTAAAAAGTTTTAATATAGAGATGCAGTGAAAGAAAAGTTTCTGAAACAATGAACTGAGATTCAATAATGTGGACAACCAGAATTCAAAATAAAATGGAGGCTAATGAACTGTTTAATTAATTCGTTCCCTTTATATTTCTTAGACGGCCAATGGTATCTGTGGTTCACTATTACACTTAGCGTTATATAAATCATTATTGCTCAATGTCTTTTCAGCAGAAAATGTGTGTTCAATATCATTTAAAAGCGGCTCGAAATGAAAACACCTCTCAAAAGAAAAAAAAAATAGCAATGGAAATACCCTTCAAAAGAAAAAGATTAGCAACAGAACAACAAAGACAGCTACGACAAAACCAGTCCCAGGATTTAAGCTTAAGAATGAGGACCACATTTTAAACAAAGGTACTTGCGTGCCTCGCGAAAACGGTTTAAAAAAAAAATAAGACTGTTTAAATAAAGATAGATATTTCTTGTACGGATTAATAAAACGGCTAAAGTAAATAACCTCTCATAAATTTACTACTTTATGCTGATTAACCTCCCTTCCAATGATTGAGCGTGACACGAAAGATATAAATAAATATATAACATTAATTATTATACGAGATAACCACAATTTTTTTTTGGGGGGGGAGGGATAATGGGTTATGAAAGCAAGACAATTTATGCACAAATTCAACCTGGAAAACAGATAAATGGTGCGAACTAAAGAAATATAAAATTTATAAAAATAATCTTAAACAATTTCCGTTAGTTTCAATCAAACCGGCATACACACACACACACACACACACACACACACGCACACACATATTTATGTATATATATGTTATGGGACCTTACCCATAATAACATAATAGACTATTCCATACGTAATAAATACTGCGCCTCAAGAGGAAGCAGGGAGTTCAGTCTGAAGTCTGGAGTGAGGTCCATCAGGAATCTGTCAGTCAGTCAGTCAGTCAGAGCGAGCGAGTCAGTCTGTCGAGTCAGAGGCAGTCCGAAACAGAGTCGCGTTCAGAAAATTACTACAAGACATTGGAATAGTGATACTGGTCGAGACTACATTGTTCTCCCTAATAAACCTGATTGTTCGTACTAACACTTTTTACTTCTCTGTATATATTCCTCTTTGTAATATATCTGTGTTATTCTATATCCGTGTTCGATTTCTTCTTTATTGATCCTACCTTGGACCATCACCGTGCTACAAGGACTTGTATTGGACAATATATATATATATATATATATATATATATATATATATATATATATATATAGACCAAATTTATTATTAAAAATTAAAATAAAATTATATTTTATTTAATTTTACTGGAGAAACTTAATTTAACCCGTCTGTTAAAGTCATTTGTCGTAAAAATCACAGAAAAACCTTTCAGTTATTTAGCTAGAAAGCGAACAGGTTAAATTGTTTTTTGTCAGCCACACTGTCTTCCCAAATAAAGAATGGTTAGTGGAAATAGATCATTGAAGCCTTCAGTTATGGTACCAACATTCATTCTCTGGCTTCTCTCTTTAAAGTTCATTCAAAACCCATCATGAGAAGAGTGAATAATTTTAAAAAGGAGGGAACAGTAAAGAGAGAAACTGGATCACGAGGACATAAAAGGAAGAGGGATCATTATTTCAACTACATAGGTAAAGAGATCAATTAGAAAAGATCCAACTCATAGACTGAGCGAGGAAAGAGTTTCAGCTATGACAGTACAAATAGGAGGGAAAATTACTTGAAAATAAAATCGTACGTGAAACCTGTGAAGCACTTTGATATTCCAAGAGAGAAAGTTTAAAGTCTAGCGAGGGCGAGATCATCTTGAATAATTTGGAAAATGAAACTGGAATAATACATATATATATTTGAAATTTATTTCAATACTTCAGGAACGTTCCGATCCTTAACTATAATTAATTAATTATGAGCATGTTATTTTCTTTTATGATCGATTTCATCACGATTCTTCTGTTAGGTTTGCAGGGTAATTATACATTCATATTGCTCAAAGTAGTGTCCAATAATGTTATAAAAACTTTGGAGAATTCCAGTAAGATATCTTTAATAATTTCTAAGATGCAACTGTTCAAAGCTTAATCTAACAATTTTGTTGCACTGTATATATATATATATATATATATATATATATATATATATATATATATATATATATATATATATATATATATAAGAAAATTAATATCAAAGGGGAAAACATTTTTCTGTCAACGCAAAGTGATCTTTGCCTTGATGTAACTACACATGAACACAAAGGGAGGAGGGGGCTGAAATTTTAAGTTTTTTAAATAATTTTTTAGATGTGTTTGGATATATCGTCTACCTAATGTCATTTATTTTCTTTTTGTGTTTTTATCAAATTTGTTACCATTATATTGACAATAAATTTGCGTCCATTGTGAATTTATTGTCACAATAATGGAAATGGTAATATTATCAGTTTCCTTATAAGGAAACATTCGGCATTCATTGACCGAACACCCAATACTACTGACGGTTGAAATTTATAAAATATTTCTCTTGAAATGTATGGTTGCCAGAAAAAAAGCATAGTCCAAGATGCGAACTGCGAATGGGAGACACTAAACTCAATGGGAGACACCAAAATTTACGGGAGACACCAAAATCTACGGGAGACACCAAAATCTATGGGAGACACCAAAATCAATGAAAGACACCAAAATCAAGCAAGTACACAAATAAATAAGGATATTTAGAAAATGTTTTTTTTTTTTTTATCAGAGAACGGAAACTGTGACACCGAAATCTGAAAACACATTGGAATAGCGAAAGATGCCTTCCAAAAGCTAAGCAAAGTATAAAAAAACAGTTTGTTAGAAACAAAGAAAAGTGTACTGGACTGCTATGTAATTTCTGTCCTGCTATATGGCAGGGAATCCTGGACAATCTCCTCACAGTGCAGAAGCAACAGAAATATGGTTCTACAGAAGGATGCTGAGAATATCATGGAATGAATGAGTCACGACAAAGATTTAGGAAAAATGAAAACAAAAATAGCATTTGTATTCGAATCAGAAAGAGACAGTTGAAATTTCTATGGTACGTAATGAAGAAAGTGGGTTTAGCGAACTTGACACTCGCAGGAAATACTGAAAGCAAAGAAGACAGATGGAAGCAGTGATTAACCTACCTAATGAGCTTATATAAATGGCCGCTAGAAGAGGGGTTAACAAAAATTACAAATAAAATGAAAAAGACAAACCTTATTAAAAGCTACGAAGGAAAGGTAGCTTAGGCAAGCCATGATCGCAAATGACCAAAAGGGAACACAGCAATAGAGAAAAAAGACTAAGAAGACAAATGAGAAATCGTCCTTGAGTCAATTTTATTTATTTATATCGATTATAATCATCTGAGAGAACTCTTTTTAATTTCCATCAGTATGGCTGATGCTAACCTCCAAGACACACACACACTACGCATGAGCACAAAGAGAGGAGGGGGCTGAAATTTTAAGTTTTTAAATTATTTATTTAGATGTGTTTGGATATATCGTCTGCCTAATGTCATTTATTTTCTTTTTGTGTTTTTATCACCTTTGTTATAAAGTATTCCACAATGGACGCAAATTTATTGTCACTATAATGGTAACCAAAATGACTTAGGAGGGATCATTATTTCAACTAAAGAGGTAAAGCGATCAATTAGAAAAGATTCAACTCGTAGACTGAGCGAGAAAGGAGTTTCATCTATGACAGTACAAATAGGAGGGAAAATTACTTGAAAATAAAATCGTACGTAAAATGTCTCTATATCGCAGCTATCGTCTTCAATGGTGCGCCATTTTGAAATACTTTATGACGAAGGTGATAAAAACCCAAAAAGAAAATAAATGACATTAGGTAGACGATATATCCAAACACATCTAAAAAAATGATTTAAAAATTTTTGTTTTTTGTCTTGTGCCACATTTTTGTATTTGCAAATTCGTTGCGCCTTCTCAAGTTTTCAACTGACATCAATTAGAAAACGTAAATTGAATCAAGTGCTAAGTCTGCAGCTAAGAAAGTTCCTAAACAATCTTTCTCGCCAGAATTTATCTTAAGTAAGTATGTCCACTGTTTTCGCGGAAAAACAGCATAGCGTAAATGAAAAATGCCACAAACTTAAAGAAAATAAAGTATTATCGTCAAAATGCTTATGTTATTATTAAGATGAAAGAAAAAAGTATTTTTTAATTATTTTTTGAAATTTTTTAATATTTTCTAACACGTTCGAAATTTTGGTTAAAGTCGTCTTTGTTTACGTCATCGCGGCGACCTTTAAAATAACAGTTTTTTTTTGCGTTTTTTTACCGTTGAAAACATATTGATTTGGAAATTCTTGTAAAAATAAAATAATTGTCCAATCTTAATGAAATTTTCAGGACTTAATCACAAATGAATGAAATTATTTTTCGAATATTTTGTTTTTAGAAAATTTTGGTAAAAAATACTTTTTTATAAATATGTTACCCCCCACTTAGTTAATTTCATGAAATTTCGCCCAAAACCTTTTTGGCTCCTCAATTTTATTTTTTTGTTAAAAGAAGGAGTCTTTGGAGATGCTAAATAACCTACTTTTCTTTCACAAATTTGAGCTACTTAACTGAAAATCTTGTCTGAATTGAAAAATAATGAATCAATAAAACTATGATATTACTTAATTAGAAAAGCTTTTAATTGCTTTTTGTAAATAAGTAATATTAAGGACATTATTGTCTGAAGAAATAATTTTTTTCTGATGAATAATTAATTTTTACAAG